ATCCCAGCACTTTGAGAGGCCGAGGCGGGTGGATCATGAGGTCAAGAGATCGAGACCATCCTGGTCGACATGGTGAAACCCCGTCTCTACTAAAAATACAAAACATTAGCTGGGCGTGGTGATGTGTGCCTGTAATCCCAGCTACTCAGGAGGCTGAGGCAGGAGAATTGCCTGAAACCAGGAGGCGGAGGTTGCTGTGAGCCGAGATCGCGCCATTGCACTCTAGCCTGGGTAACAACAGCGAAACTCTGTCTCAAGAAAAAAAAAAAGAAAAGCAGTTAATAGTCACATTCCAGGCCCCCAGAGCACCAGCTGGGTGTCAGGCCTGTTCCAGGCACTGTCCATACTCCACTCATTTAATTCTCACACAACTTTGTTCTATGTACTCAAAGAATTTCAATTTATAGAAGTGTCTGGGTGACAATAGAGAGAGGTTAATGCTGTTGAAAGACAAATCCTGTTAAGAATATAAAAGTGTTGGGCCGGGCGCGGTGGCTCAAGCCTGTAATCCCAGCACTTTGGGAGGCGGAGGCGGGCGGATCACGAGGTCAAGAGATCGAGACCATCCTGGTCAACATGGTGAAACCCCGTCTCTACTAAAAATACAAAAAATTAGCTGGGCATGGTGGCGCGTGCCTGTAATCCCAGCTACTCAGGAGGCTGAGGCAGGAGAATTGCCTGAACCCAGGCGGCGGAGGTTGCGGTGAGCCGAGATCGCGCCATTGCACTCCAGCCTGGGTAACAAGAGCGAAACTCCGTCTCAAAAAAAAAAAAAAAAAAAAAAAAAGAATATAAAAGTGTTATTGCCTGCATCTTTCTAGAGTCTGGCATTGTTTATTCTGAGAAGTGAAATGTGTGCCTTGGTTATTATCAGTAATGTCTGTAACTCCAAAGAGAATAAAGAGTGTCCTGGCAAGGCTTTGTACTGTGGCCTTGGTTGGGTAGACGTGTGATTTTGATTTGTTTTTTTCAGTGAGGGAAGAGATTCTTAGAATTATTTACCTGGAAAGGGACAATTTTTAGGCAGTCAGTAGTTTGCAGTAAATTTGAAGATGGGGCATTTGGTGCCAAGTTGACTGCATGAAGTTTGACCAAGTGTGTTATTCTTTGGGTCCCATCCTTTCTCAGAGACATCCTGGCTAAGGGATAGAAAGCAGCAACAGTCTACTGAGCTTCTTCACTTTGGGTACCAGTCCTAACCCTGTATGTCAGTGCCCTTAGTCCTGGTGGTGACGAGGAATTGCGAAAAGGAAATAAAGACACAAGAGTAGAGTTTACAGTGTTGGTCCCCCGGACCCAAGCATTGGCCCCGAGCTCTGGACTCCAAATACTTTTGTTATGTGCATAATCTCATTGATCTTATGGGCGTGGAAGGGGAGAATGAAGGGGTCTTATGAAACATGCTGGGTTTTGTCCACCGTTCCTGGTTCATAATCACCATAGCCCTTTTGTTAAAACGTTGGGTGCGTTAGGCCTTGAGGGCAGGCCTCTGACCTTTTCCTGCCTTCCTTTCACTCTAACGTTCCTCCACCTTTCTGATTGTGGGTCTTATGAGTGGGCCCAACCCTAGACCCTGGGGAAGGAATGCTGCCGTTACGAAGTTTCCATAAAGACTCAAGAGGTCACAGTTGGCTGGGCACGGTGGCTTACACCTGTAATCCCAGCACTTTGGGAGGCCAAAGTGGGTGGATCATGAGGTCATGGGATGGAAACCATCCTGGCCAACAAGGTGAAATCCCATCTCTACTGAAAATAAAAACGTTAGCTGGGCATGGTGGTGCATGCCTGTAATCCCAGCTAGTTGAGAGACTGAGGCAGGAGGCAGGAAAATCACTTAAACCAGGGAGCTAGAGGTTGCAGTGAGCAGAGATGGCGCCACTACACTCCAGCCTGGCAACAGAGTGAGACTGTGTAAGAAGTCACAGTTCAGTGAGCTTCCAGGTGGTCCCCCCAGGAAGGGCATGGAAGCTCTGTGCCCTTTCACCCACATCTCGCCCTAGGAGTCGCTTCATCTGTATCCTTTGCATTTCCTTTATAATACACTGGTAAACATGAGTGTTTCCTTCAGTTCATAAGCTGCTCCAGCAAATTAATTGAACCCAAAGGGGGTCTCGGGAACCCTAACTCAAAGCCCATCAATCAGACATTTTGGAGGCCTGGACTTTGGACAGGTATGTAGGGTGGGGCAGTCTTGTAGACTCAGCCCGCAGCCTGTGGGATCTGAAGCTATCTCTGGGTGGATTGTATGGGAACAGAGTTAGAGGACACTCACCCCACATTGGTGTCCGCTGCTTGGAGTCTGGGGAAAAACCCACACACATTTGGTCATAGAAGAAGTCTTGTTCTGTATTGATTGTTGTCACGGTGTGGCTGTAAAGGAAAAACATGATTAGAGTTTTCCCTTCATAGTGGGGTGTCTTCTGGAAAAGCAAGCCAGGGCATGGTAAACAGTTTAGGGCTGGCTAATTTGAGTAATTTCAGTGAGGTTTGGGGGATAGGGACTATCTCTAGTTGTCTGGCACCTGGCCCTGGGTTGATTTAGGGCAGGGGAAATACTTGGTATATGAGAGTTTGCTAAGGAAGTGGTTGAGGGTATGGTTTGAGATTAGGTGGATTGCACATTGAAAGGCATGTGCTTGTTTCCAGGAGAGTTTGTTACCCTAGGAATTACCTGTCCCTGAGAGGAGCAGTCTCTCCCAAAGTCTGAAAAGGCTTCACGATGTTCTGAGCAAAGTCAAGAAAATATACGACTACTGTATTTTGGTCTGAATGAACCTAAACTTACTCGGTTTAGAAGATAAATCTTCATCTATGAAGCTGTCCTTTGTGGGTTTTTTTGTTTTTTTTTTTTTAATTAGAAGTTCTCAGGCCGGGCGAGGTGGCTCAAGCCTGTAATCCCAGCACTTTGGGAGGCCGAGGCGGGTGGATCACGAGGTCAGGAGATCGAGACCATCCTGGTCAACATGGTGAAACCCCGTCTCTACTAAAAATACAAAAAATTAGCTGGGCGTGGTGGTGCGTGCCTGTAATCCCAGCTACTCAGGAGGCTGAGGCAGGAGAATTGCCTGAACCCAGGAGGCGGAGGTTGCGGTGAGCCGAGATCGCGTCATTGCACTCCAGCCTGGGTAACGAGAGCGAAACTCTTTTTTTTTTTTTTTTTTTTTTTGAGACGGAGTTTCGCTCTCGTTACCCAGGCTGGAGTGCAATGGTGCGATCTCGGCTCACAGCAACCTCCGCCTCCTGGATTCAGGCAATTCTCCTGCCTCAGCCTCCTGAGTAGCTGGGATTACAGGCACGCGCCACCACGCCCAGCTAATTTTTTGTATTTTTGGTAGAGACGGGGTTTCACCATGTTGACCAGGATGGTCTCGATCTTTTGACCTCGTGATCCACCTGTCTCGGCCTCCCAAAGTGCTGGGATTACAGGCTTGAGCCACTGCGCCCGGCCAGCGAAACTCTCTCTTAAAAAAAAAAAAAAGTTCTCTTTTTATAAAATATTGGGAGTACACTATTTGATGTTTCTGTAAATGTCCTTGTGTAACTCTATCACAGTAGAATGTTTACTTTTTAAAATTTCTAGTGGTTCATGAAATACTGAGGTCGAGAGTCCCTGAACCTGCCCCTCACCCTGGCTGCTGGTCCCTGAGGATGAGTCCTCCAGCTCACATCTCTGCATCATCACCACCACCCACCACGTACTCTGTGGTGCTAGTAGTTTCCTCCTTAGCGCAATGTTTGGGACAGGAGCCAGAACCGTGGTGCCCAGCCCCAGCTCTGCTCTTTAAAAACTGTGTGGCCTTGGACAAATTACCGACCTTGTCTGTGCCTCAGTGTTCTCATTGGTAAAATGAGGACTCACCACATCTGCATCCCAGGGTGACACACATCCCTGTGTCAGCACCCATATCGCACCTTGAATTGAAATAATCCCCCTGTGTTGCGCAAGGTAATTGAATCATGGGGATGGTTTTTCCCATGCTGTTCTCGTGAAAGCAAGTAAGTCTGATGAGATCTGATGGTTTTATAAAGGGGAGTTCTCCTGCTCATGACCTCTTGCCTGCTGCCCTGTAAGATGTACCTTTCTTCGCCTTCTGTCATTATAGCGAGGCCTCCCCAGCCATGTGAAACCGAGTCCCTTAAACCTCCTTTTCTTTATAAATTACCCAGTCTCAGATATGTCCTATTAGCAGCATGAGAACAGACTAATACAGTTATTGCATGAAAAGGGCTCAGAACAGCACCTGGGGGACCAGGCTGTGGGCAGGGAGCCATTGCAATTCTCTTGCCACCAGTACTGTTACTATCATCTCATCACGATTGTTGTCATTGGCATGCCTGGACCTAGCACTTTCTGGGCAGCATTGTGGAGCTTTGTGGTTAAACAGCACAGAGATGGCAGGACCAGGTGCTTATTGACTCAGCCATTCACCAGTTCTGTGCTCTTCAGCAAATCAATTTACTTCCTGAACCTGGGTTTCTTTGTCAGTAAAATGGTGTTGATCATGATGTGGACTTCCTAGGGATGCTGTGAGAAAATCCTCAGCTAGAATCCTCATTTTGTCTTCGGTCTACAGGAAGAGCATTATAAAACATTGCTTAGAATGCAAAAAAAGTAAGATTTAGGTCAATGAAATCACAACCTTGTTTTGAATGAAAAGAGTCATTATTTAATATGTAAACACATCAGTTTTTCTCTAAGATATTCCATAAATGCTCACTTTTGGAATTACATAATGCATTTAACTTGTGTGGCCTAGTCCACTGGACATGGTTATATCCTATAAGTACTAGGTTTTGACTTACTATTAGGAGTAGAGATTCCATGGCAGCATGACATGACCTGCTCTTCGTTTCCAGGTCACGTGCCAGCTTTTTGTTCCCATGCACAGGAGCAGATTCCTTCTAAGATCTGGTCCCCATCCTGAAGTCCCAGCCTAGATTGTAGGTCTGTATTTCCTTTCACCAGTATCCATGTGTCCACTTTCTTTCTCCATAAACAGGGTGTCCTGTTCCCAGACCTGAGCTGATCTACCACCTAGAGCATGGGCAGGAGCCCTGGACCAGGAAGGAAGACCTCTCCCAAGGCACCCGTCCAGGTAGGAGCCAAGATCTGGGTAAGTGGGAATCCCTGCAGGTTTGAGACTGTGAGGAGGCCACTGGCCCTGGGAACTCTTGGGAAGCTTCTCACTGTGGCCTCTCTATATATAACTCTTATAATAAATCACAATACAATGTTTCATTTGAGAGCCATGGAGCCGTTTGGCCTGTGGTTTCTCTGTCCTCCCAGCCCTATCACACTTGTCACCATTCCTGGGAAGGAGTGGGATTTACAAACTGAGATGTGTCTGAGGGTTCCAACTGTGTGGGCCTGGAATGTGGCTTGCCAATCACCTGCTATGTGGCCCTGATGAAGATGCAGGATCTCCTGTCTTTATATATAACATTCAGCTAAGTTAACAGTAGCTGCTATTTCAGACAGACTCTAAAATCTCAGTGGTTCACATAGGAAAATTCTTACTCATACCAAGATCTGTGTGGGTCAGCAGGGAGTTCTATACCACATAGTTATTCAGGACTCAGGTTCCTTCTGTCATCAGCCTCTTGCATTAAGATTATCCTAACATCCTTGAGCAGGCAGAGAATTGAGAGAATAAGGGAAGGTTACACCCCCTTCCAGAAATACCAACACCCACAGGAACTAGGCATTTGGCTTGGGTCCATGGATCTGGGCAATGTGACTGAGCTGCATGTCCAAGGAGAAGAGCAGATGGTTTGGTGAGCACCTACTCAGTCCACTACACTAGGTCTGTTCCTGAAAAATGTTATCAGAAATTATTTTTATGTCATTGGGCAGTTTGAAGATGTAATCATATGATACAGTAATGCATAAAACTGCATGGTTTACCTTACTCTCCCAATTTCTGTTTCCAGTTATACCCTGCCTATCAGCCTTTCCTACCTTCTCCTTCCACCCATCCCCTGAGAGTCAGTCAGACACTAAGAAGCAGTCCTTTTCCCATTTCTTCCTATATCTGCTGTTTTCCAAACCCCTCAGGGTGACAGATGACACCTGTCCCACACTCAGGCTGCAGGGGACACTGGGGTCATCTGTCAGGTGTGTGGATTGGTGCCACTGCAGAGCCTAGGCCTCTGCCTGCATGGATTCCTTGGGCTGCTCTTGCAACCCGAGTGTCTGTACAGTCCCTGTTCAGCCCTCAGAGTCTGTTCCAGACTGTTCCCTCTTCAGTGTCACATCTCCACTTGAAAAATCTCAAAAGCACAAAACTCAGCATGTCTAAGAAGGAATCCATGATCTCGCTGACTCCTGCCGCCTCCCAAGTTTCTGTGAATGCTTCTGCCATCCAGGCAGATTAGGAGACTAGACCCAACCTCAAGACAGGTCAACCCCACCATTCCATGAGTCCCTGCATCCAGCCAACCGGACGGTTTTCCTCTTCAGGCACAGATGTCTCAGCATATGAGTGCTGATGTATCAGCATGCTTTCATGTTAAAAGAATGTCTGCTCTCTTGTATTCCTTGATCAGCAGCCGTTACATGTGCATCTCAGCTTCTTGTATTGATAACTCTCTTTTCCTTACTGGACAAGGTCTTGCTCCAGCCACTGCCAATTCCTATTCCAGGGTCTAGATCACATTTCCTTTCATGGACATCCTTTCTTCATTTATATTCTGCTTGTTTTGAAATTTCATCCTTTCTCTACTCAACATAAAAATATGCATGTTTCTTTTTTTTAACTTTTCCTTTTTTTTTTAAGATAGAGTTTCACTGTGTAGCCCGTGCTGGAGTGCAGTGGTGCATGCACCTGCTATCTCAGCCTCCCAGGTAGCTGAGATAGCAGGTGCATGCCACTACACCTGGCTAATTTTTGTATTTTTATTTTTATTTATTTATTTATTGTTGATACGAAGTTTCACTCTAATTGCCCAGGTTGGAGTACAGTGGCACAATCTCAGCTCACTGCAACCTCTGCTTCTGGGTTCAAGCAGTTCTCCTGCCTCAGCTTCCCTAGTAGCTGGGATTACAAGCATCTGCCACTACCCCAGGCTAATTTTTTGTATTTTTAGTAGAGACAGGATTTCACCATGTTGGCCAAGCTTGTCTTGAACTCCTGACCTTAGGTGATCTGCCTGCCTCGGCCTCCCTAAGTGCTGAGATTACAGGCGTGAGCCCCTGTGCCTGGCCGTATTTTTAGGAGAGACAGGGTTTCACTGTGTTGCCCAGAGTGGTCTCAAACCCCTGGCCTTAAGCAATCCATCCACTTCGGACTCCCAAAGTACAAGGATTACAGGCTTGAGTCACCATGCTCGGCTTCAAGTTTCTTACACTTGAAGAAGAAACAAATGCTTGTGGCTCACGACATATTTATATATTCATTGATATAGTTGTTTACTATGTGGGCATTTAATTGTCTAGATTTGGCTGGCCCAGTGGTTCATGCCTATAATCCCAGCACTTTAGGAGGCTGAGGTGAGAGGGTTACTTGAGCTCAGGAGTTTGAGACCAGCCTGGGAAACATGGCGAGACCCCCATCTCTACAAAATTTAAAAAAATTGCTGCGCATGGTGGCTCATGCCTGTGGTCCCAGCTATTCAGGAGGCCGAGGTGGGAGGATCTCTTGAGCCCATGAGGTAGAGGCTGAAGTGATCTTATTCATGCCACTGCACTCCATCCTGGGTGACAGTGAGATCCTATGTCAAAAAAATAAGTAAAAATAATTGATGAGAGACTATGAACCAGAGGCAAAAAATAATAATAATTGTCTACATTTCATTCACAAAAACAGAGATACTGTGGACGTTCATATATGTACTTCATTTTCCACATGTGTAGGTGTATATTTTTTTATAATTCTTGGAGTGAAATTACTGGTTTGTAGGACTGTGCAAATGCTCAAGTTCGCAAGATCATTCCCATTGTTTTCTAAAGCGCCTATGCCAGTTTGCACTTAACCAGGAAAGTGAGAGGTTCTGTTGAACTTTTCATTATAAGGCTTCTCAATGTTTGTTCATTAAATGAACACGGAATAGTCTCATGTGCTCTTGATTTGCCTTTCTTTTGCTGCTGAAATGTTTTAGCAACTTACTGTGATTTTTAGTTCATTTATATTTTCTTCTGTGAAAATACAAGTCATTATTTATTTTACAATAAATTTGTATTCCATTAACCTGTTTTCCTTTCTTTGTTTGCTTGATAGGGATTCTCTGTACATTTCTCATACATACCTTTTATCACTTACATATGCTGAAAAATATATTCTAGTTTTTAATTTTGTTCTCTTACTCTCTTCAAAGTACCTTTTTCACCTGAAAGATATCTTTTTTGCTTAATTTACTGTAGTCTAACTTAAGACTTTTTTTTTTTTTTTTTTTTTTAAACGGAGTTTCGCTCTTGTTACCCAGGCTGGAGTGCAATGGCGCGATCTCGGCTCACCGCAACCTCCGCCTCCTGGGTTCAGGCAATTCTCTTGTCTCAGCCTCCTGAGTAACTGGGATTACAGGCACGCGCCACCATGCCCAGCTAATTTTTTGTATTTTTAGTAGAGACGGGGTTTCACCATGTGACCAGGATGGTCTCGATCTCTTGACCTCGTGATCCACCCGCCTTGGCCTCCCAAAGTGCTGGGATTACAGGCTTGAGCCACCACGCCCGGCTAAGACTTTTCTTACACTTTTTGTCTTGTATAAAAAATGTTGATTTACCTAATATTAAATACATACATTCTAAAAGTTTTAAAACTTGGCACTTGACATTTCTTCAGTGAGGTTGATTTGGACTATATAGTGAGATAGCAATACAGTTATTTTCATTCTCCATGTGGCTAGCCAGTTTTTCTAGCTTCATTTACTTAATTTAACATACCATCAAGTTCCCTAATTAAGTATAGTTGGTATTTTACAAGGAATTATATTGAATTTATATAATTTGGGTCAAATTGTCAGTTCATATTATTAAATTCTTCATTGATACAGATCTTTATTATCTTCAAATAAGATTTATAATTTTCTTCATCTTAATTATATGTATTTGGGGTTTTTTGTTTGTTTTTAAGAGACAGGGTATTTTGCCACATCATGTCTGGCTAATGTGCTTTTGGTTTTGTTTTTAAAAAAATTTTTATAGAGATGGGGGATTGCTGTGTTTCTCAGAGTGGTCTTGAACTTCTAGGCTCAAGTAATCTGCCCATCTTGGCCTCCCAAAGCAGTGGGATTACAGGCTTTGGGAGGCTAAGATGAAAAGAGTAGCACCATACACAGCATCCTGGCCATCGATTATGTGTATGGTGCTACTCTTTTTACCAGGCTGTTCCCTGGGCATATGAGACTCTTGTGTGTCAAGCCAGGTCCTCTTTTTTATTTTATTTTATTTTATTTTATTTTATTTTATTTTATTGCATTTTAGGTTTCGGGGTACAGGTGATGAACATGCAAGATTGTTGCATAGGTACACACATGGAAGCCAGGTCCTCTTACCTCTTTCCTTGTGAGCCCTGGATTGATAGTAGCATTAGTCACATGACCTTCACCGACACCCAGCTCAGAATCATGGCCATCAGTTTGCCCTCTGTCCCTGGATTGTCATCAACACCATCCTGCAGTTTCTTTGTGTTGTCTCCTAAGACTACAATGTCCTTCCTTCCCACTTTCTCTTTATGGCAGCTCTTCTTTTTTTTTTTTTTTTGAGACGGGGTTTTGCTCTTGTTACCCAGGCTGGAGTGCAATGGCGCGATCTCGGCTCACCGCAACCTCCGCCTCCTGGGATCAGGCAATTCTCCTGCCTCAGCCTCCTGAGCAGCTGGGATTACAGGCACGCGCCACCGTGCCCAGCTGATTTTTTGTATTTTTCTAGAGACAGGGTTTCACCATGTTGACCAGGATGGTCTTTATCTCTCGACCTTGTGATCCACCCACCTCGGCCTCCCAAAGTGCTGGGATTACAGGCGTGAGCCACCACGCCCGGCCCTGGCAGCTCTTCTTCACAAGCATAGGACTCACTTCATCGAGCACATCTTCTAGGAAAACTCTGATTTCTTCCTACCCAGGATCAGCTGAACTCAAGGACACAGTCCTCTAAAACTACCAGGTCTGTCCAGCTCTTCTGACACAGACTGCAAGTTTGGATCCCAAAGCCACTATAGGGTTACTAATTAGCTAAAAAGACTCACAGAACTCCTAAAACCTATTTTAGTTACAGTCATATTTATTACAGACAAAGGGAGCAAATTAGAAGTGACACAGAATGTGAAGTTGGAAAGATTCCCAACACAAAGCCTCAGTATCTTCAGGAACTCACTGTGCCCCAGTCTGGCATATGACAATATGAGCTTAAGAGTGTTGCCAACCCAGGACACTCACCAGCTCTTCATTGCCCAGAATTGTACCGAAGCCTCATGACATAACCACAGTTGATTGTATCATCACTTGTGTGGCTCAGTTTCCAGCATGTCATCCTTTCCAGAGATTCAGCGTTTATGTTATATTAAGCCCTAAGCTTCTAATCACGTGGTTTAGTATTGTGGTGTGGCCTGAGTCATCTCTTCAGGATAAACTGTGGAGGAATCCATGAGTTACCTGTTTGCATAAACTGTCAGTTTGGGCCGTTGGATCCCACCATGAGTAAAAACAATTTGGAATTGTTTACAGGTTACTTTCCATGACTTCACACAACAAGCATACTTCTTTTTGGCAATTAATTTTTGTTGCTTACTTCCTGTCTTCCATGTGGGTTCATGAGGTGCTCCTTCCTCGTGTTCTTGTAGCAACACAGAACGTCCTTGCTTAGTTGCTTAAAGGAAGCTTACCATGCACGGTATAATCATTACTCTGTCCACCCAGGTCCAATGTGTAATTGTGAAGGTGGCCCCACTGCAAACTCATTGTCTCCTGACCCAGCCTCTCCCCACTAGGTCTCCCTTTCAGGATATCCCGAGTCCAGGGACCGGAATAGAAAGAAATTGCGAACCCAATAATTTGAGATACAGAAAATAGCAAACACAGAACCAATATTTTTATCTGTGGTTTGCACAGAAATGGTAATATTCTTTTTTCCGTGGTGTCCTTTACTAACAGGCCCTTTCGTGCACTGGATTTCTTTCAGGTGACAAAGGAAAGCCTAAGACCACAGAACCTACTACTTGTGATCCAGCTTTGTCAGAGGGAATCTCACTTCAGGGACAACTGACACAAGGAAACTCAGTGGACTCCCAGTTGGGGCAAGCCAGGGGTCAGGATGGACTATCAGAAATGCAGGAAGGACACTTCATACCAGGAATAGATCCCCAGGAGAAAGTTCCTGGGAAAATGAGCCCTGAATGTGATGGTTTAGGGACAGCTGATAGTGTGTGTTCAAGGATTGGACAGGAGCAAGTCTCTCCAGCAGATACAGTCCATGGCCATAACTCATGTGAATCAGGTAAAGACCCCATGATTCAGGAAGAGGAAAATATCTTTAAATGCAGTGAATGTGGAAAAGTATTTAACAAGAAACACCTCCTTGCTGGACATGAGAAAATTCACTCTGGAGTGAAGCCCTATGAATGCACAGAATGTGGGAAAACTTTTATTAAGAGCACACATCTCCTGCAACATCACATGATCCACACTGGGGAGAGGCCCTATGAGTGCATGGAGTGTGGAAAGGCCTTCAACCGGAAGTCATACCTTACTCAGCACCAGCGGATTCACAGTGGAGAGAAGCCTTACAAGTGCAGTGAATGTGGAAAGGCCTTCACCCACCGATCCAATTTTGTCTTGCATAACAGGAGACACACTGGAGAAAAATCCTTTGTATGCACAGAATGTGGGCAAGTCTTTCGACATAGGCCAGGTTTTCTTCGGCACTATGTTGTCCACAGTGGTGAAAATCCCTACGAGTGCTTGGATTGTGGCAAGGTCTTCAAACACAGGTCATACCTCATGTGGCACCAGCAGACTCATACTGGGGAGAAGCCCTACGAGTGCAGTGAATGTGGGAAGGTCTTCTTGGAGAGCGCAGCCCTCATTCACCACTATGTCATCCACACTGGGGAGAAGCCCTTTGAGTGCCTGGAGTGTGGGAAGGCTTTCAACCACCGATCATACCTCAAGAGGCACCAGCGGATTCACACTGGGGAGAAGCCTTTCGTGTGCAGTGAATGTGGAAAGGCCTTCACCCACTGCTCTACTTTTATCTTGCATAAAAGGGCCCACACTGGAGAAAAACCTTTTGAGTGCAAAGAATGTGGAAAAGCTTTCAGCAATCGGAAGGACCTCATTCGACATTTCAGCATCCACACTGGAGAGAAGCCCTATGAGTGTGTGGAGTGTGGAAAGGCTTTTACTCGCATGTCAGGCCTCACGAGGCACAAGCGGATTCACAGTGGAGAGAAGCCTTATGAATGTGTTGAGTGCGGGAAGTCTTTTTGCTGGAGCACAAACCTCATTCGACATGCAATTATCCATACTGGAGAGAAGCCCTACAAGTGCAGTGAATGTGGAAAGGCCTTCAGTCGCAGCTCATCCCTCACTCAGCATCAAAGGATGCATACTGGGAGAAATCCTGTCAGAATAACAGATGTGGGAAGACCTTTCACAAGTGGACAAACCTCAGTTACCCTTCGAGAACTTCTTTTAGGGAAGGACTTTTTGAATGTCACCACTGAGGCAAATATTTTGCCAGAGGAAACATCTTCCTCTACATCTGATCAGCCATACCAAAGAGAAACCCCACAAGTGTCTTCACTGTGAGAAAACATTCTGTTGCTGAACATTACGTGTCATCTGAAGAGTCACATTAGAATTCATTCCGTCTAGAGCCTTATTCTCCATCTGATAATTTATCCTGGAGAGAGACCTGGTGGTTATTGTGCACATAGGAAAACCTTCAGCTGCATCTTTCTCCTTAGTTTACAGTGCAATGTTATCTCAGGAATTATTTTTAAATGGAGGAGGAAACAGAAAAAAATGAAATGCAAGCACACATCTTTTCAGACTTCTCTGCCAAGCCTGCAGTGCTTTGTCATAGATTCCTTAGTATATTTGGGGGAAGGGAAGTGTTTCAAGGTAAAGGGCCTTGACCCTTTTTGTGTCTTGTATATACATTTATTGCTATTCAGTGTCAGAAGAGTTGGTTTAGGAAAAGTCTGCAAACTTTAATTGCACATCTTCTGTGTTCCCAATAGTACTTTCTCTGCTCATCGCAACCTCCACCTCCTGGGTTCAGGCAATTCTCCTGCCTCAGCCTCCTGAGTAGCTGGGATTACAGGCACGTGCCACCATGCCCAGCTAATTTTTTGTATTTTTAGTAGAGACGGGGTTTCACCATGTTGACCAGGATGGTCTCGATCTCTTGACCTCGTGATCCACCCGCCTCGGCCTCCCAAAGTGCTGGGATTACAGGCTTGAGCCACCACGCCCGGCCAATACTCAACATTTAAATCAGTAAGGTTACATGTCTTAACACTCAGGCTTTTTCTTGATGCCCATCTTTTGGTTTACCTCATTACTGTAGCTTTATGGTAAATTTTTATTTGTTAAATTTTTAAAAATTACTTAGTTCAAAATGTCAATGATAATTTTTTTTTTTTTTTTTTTTTTTTTAAGATGGGGTTTCACCATGTTGGTCAGGCTGTTCTTGAACTCCCGACCTCAGGTGATCTGCCTGCCTTGGTCTCCAAAGTGCTTGGATTATAGGCATGAGTCACCACGCCCAACCATTGGTAAATTTTTTAATTGAGTAAAGTGATTCTTTTTTGCTCCTATTTAAAATTGACTTAGCATTTCTAGTTCCTTTGACATTCCATATAGTTTTTAGGATTAGTTTGTACATATTTACAAAACAATCTTGCTCAGATTTTCACAGAAATTGAATTAAGTCTGTCGATTAATCTGTTAAGAATTGGTGTCTTTACTATGTTGAGTGTTGTAGTTCATGAGTTCAGTAGGCCTCTTAATTTATAATAGTTAAGTGTTCCTCAAAGTATTTCATTAATGGTAAAATTTTCAGCTTATAGATCCCTGTGCATTTTTGTTAAAATTTGCATCCTATGGTGCTTTTTCGTTTGTGTATGTGTAATTTGAGTGATTGTAAATGCCATTGATGTTTAAACTTTGAGTTGCACACAATTTTTGGTAGTATACACAATTATAATTTTTTGGACATTGTTTTGCTATCCTCCAACCTTGGTGAGTTCACTTATTTTTAGCAATTTCTTTTGACAGAATCCTTGGAATTTTCTCTATAGAAACGTTATCTGCAAATATAGACCATTTTTAAACTTTCATCTTATCTGTATACCTCTTATATCCTTTTTGTTGGTCTTTTTGCATTGCACAAGCTGGGACTTTCATTATAACGTTGAATAGGAGTAATGAGAAAGGCCATCCTTACCTGGTTCCTGATATTATGGGGGAAATGTTCAGTTGTTTTGTTTGAGACAGGATCTCACTTTGTCACCCAGGCTGGAGTGCAGTGGCATGATCTTGTCTCACCACAGCCCTGACTTCCCAGGCTCAAGTGATCCCCCCACCTCAGCCCCCTACCAACCCCCAGTAGCTGGTACTACAGGCATGCACCATCACGCCTGGCTAATTTTTGTATTTTTTTTGTAAAGACAGCGTTTCACCATGATTCCCAGGCTGATCTCAAACTCCTGGGTTCAAGCAGTCTGCTTGCCTGGGTCTCCCAAGGTCCTGGGATTACAGGCGTGAGCCACTGTGCCCAGCATGTTCAGTTTTTCATCATAAAGTATAACATAAGTCTTATAAAGCATATGTTTTCTATAAGGATAAAAAATTTCCTCTGTTCACAGTTTTTTGAGTTTCTGTGTTGCTGTGAATGAGTGTTGAATTTTGTTCAATGCTTTTTCTTCACTGATAGCATCATGCCATTTTCCTTCTACATCCTATTGGTAGAATGTATTGCTTTGATAGAGTTTTGAATATTGAGCCAGACTTGCATCCTTAGAATAAACCACACTTGTTTGTAGAGTATAATTGTTTTCATATATCATTTGGCATTATTCCCTTTGTTTGTATTTTGTTAAGGAAATATTCCTCTAATTTATTGCCTAACAATGTGTAGTTCTTTTTCTTTTTCCTTTTGTTTCTTATGTTCCAAATGTCTTATATGTGGTTTTGATGTCTCAGTGACCATGACCTTTGAACATGAATTGGAAGGAGTTGGGTTTTAATTTTTGGAAGACTGTGTAGAATTGGTGTTATTTGTGCTTGTCATTTGATTACCTCTAGTCAACTATTGGGCCAGAGATTTTTCTTCTGGAGGCTTTTAAATTACATATTTATTTTACTGGATAGGTGGAACTATTCAGAGTATCTATTTCTTGTGTAATAATTTTGATAGTCTATCCTTTTGAAGGAATATTTCATCTAAATTTGTAGCATTCCCTTATTGTTTTGATAGCAAGATCTGTACTTAACATCATTTTATTTTTAATATTGGAAATGTGTGTACTCTTTTTATGATTGAGTCTTCTTAGACATTAATCAGTTCTATTGTGCACCATGCTGAAAGATGTAATTTTTGCTTCATCTCTCACTTCAAAGAGCTAGCACTTTATCTTATTGATTTGTCTCTTTCTGTTCTTGATTTCTTTGATTTCTGCTTTTATCTGTATTCTTCCACTTGGTTTGGTTGTATTTGGCTCTTTGTAAGTTTTCAGAGTGGGTTTTTAGATTATTTATTTGAGATTTTTTTTGCTTTTTTAATGTAAGCATTACATCCTATAAATTTACCCAACTTCACAATTTGATCCCACAAGTTTTAATATGTTTTCGTTACAATTCTAATAAGCCATGAATTATTTAATAGTATGTTTAATTTTCTAGTGTTCAGTGTGTTTGTTACTGTTTTCTCAACCATATTTGATCTGACCATTTAAATGTGTTAACATTTTTGATGACCCAGGATAGGGTCTGTCTTGTTCCATATGGCTGCTTGAAAAGAATGGGCATTCTGCTGTCACTGGGTCGAGTTTCTATAAATTTCTGTATGATCCTGCTCACTGTTAGTCAGGTCAGCTGTGTCCTCGCTGATTTTCTGTCTACATTTCTGTCATTTGCTAAGACTGGTGTTGAAGTCCTCAACATAGGCTGGGTGCAGTGGTGGCTGACACCTGTAATCCCAACACTTTGGGAAGCCGAAGCAGGCGAATCACCTTAGGTCAGGAGTTTGAGACCAGCCTGGCCAACATGGCGAAACCCTGCCTCTACTAAAAATACAAAATTAGCCAAGCATGGTGGCGCATGCCTGTAATCCCCAGCTACTGAGGAGGGGCTGAGACAGGAGGATCGCTTAAACGTGGGAGGTGGAGGTTGTAGTGAGCCGAGATCATGCCATTGTACTTCAGCCTGGGCAACAGAGCGAGACTCTGTCTCAAAAAAAAAAAAAAAAGTCCGAATATAATTGTGGAAATATGTTGTATGTTGCTCTTTAAGTTCTATCACTTTTTGTTTCGCAAAGTTCAAAGCTGTATTATTTGGTACATATACATGTAGATTTGCCAAATCTTCTTGGTGAATTGACTCTTATCCTTATGTAATGTCCTTTTTTTGCCTCTTAATAGTCTTGTCAATACTTTAACTGATATTTTTATAGTGACTCCTGCATATTTTGATTAATGTTTGCATGGTTAATATTCCTTCATTTTATTTTAAATCTTATCTGTATCATTATTTATGAAGTCAGTTTCTTTGAACAGCATATCCTCAGGCCATGCATTTTGCATATTTCTCTCTTAATTGGTATATTGAAATCAGTTAAATTAAAATAACTAGTGATATTTTAGGGCTTAAGTCTGCCTTTAAATGATTTTTTGATGCTTTTTTTTTTTTATTGTTCCTCTCCTTGTTATTTGGGGTTATTTACTTATCTTCCTATAGGCTATTCATCTTTTTTTCTTAGAATTTGATTTGGTATATGTGTAGTGTTTTTTAGTATAGATGCTCCTTGACTTATGATGGGGTTATATCCCAATATATCCATTGCAAGTTGAAAATATTAAGTCAAATATGTATTTAATACACCTACCCTACCAAACATCATAGCTGATCTTGCCTTCAACATGCTCAGAAAATTTACATTAGCCTGCAGTTGGGTAAAATTATCTAACACAAGGCCTATTTTATAATAAAATTACTACAAAGAATTTTGAATAAAAATTCAAGTGTGGCTTCTACTGAATGCATGAAGCATTTGCACCACGGTAAAGTCAAGTAATAAGTTGAACCATCGTAAGTCAGGGACTACATATATCTGCATATTTTAGTGATTGTCGTACTATTGCAGTATAAATATGTAACTTATGACAGTTTAATAAGTTATCAGCAATTTGATAATTTTATCACTGATAAAATTGTAATATTGTAATTGCTGATGCAAGTATCAACAATTTAGCACTTCCGTTGGTTCCTTTACCTTACCTATTAATGTGACTATCTTAAGTAATTCCTCTTCAAAAATTGAGCACTATGTTGCATGATGTAATTTTGCTTTATCTTTCAGGTATTTTACAAAAGGTCATGAGTAGCATTGTCTCTTAACCTCTTTACCCATTCCATTGTTCATTCTTCCTTCTTGAAATCCCAAGCCTTCTTCTATTAACATTTCCTTTCTGTTATACACTACTGAACTTACAGTAGCCTTTCTTCTAGGGCAACAACTGTTCATTGTTTTCCTTCTCTAAAGGTATCTTTATGTTTGCTTCATCCCCAAAGAATATTTTTGTGGGTGTAAGATTCAGAGTTGTCAGTTGTTTTCTTTTAATACTTGAGAAACATGTCTCTTTGTTCCGTCCATTATGGTTTAATATAAGAAATCTACTACCATTCAAATAATCATCCCCTATTTTGCAATGCATCAGTTCTGTTGAGCTTCATCCAAAGTGTTTTTCATTGTCTGTGGTGTTCAGAAGTTCGACTATGATGTGCGTGGTATGGAATTTTTTGAGTGTATCTTATTTGGTGTTCTCTGGTGCCTGCCCAGCTTTTTAATCTATAGGACTATGCCTTTTGCTAACTTTGGGGGATTTTCAACTATTATTTCTTTTTTTTTTTTTTAAGACGGAGTTTCACTTTTGTTACCCAGGCTGGAGTGCAATGGCGCGATCTCGGCTCACCGCAACCTCCGCCTCCCGGGTTCAGGCAATTCTCCTGCCTCATCCTCCTGAGTAGCTGGGATTACAGGCACACGCCACCATGCCCAGCTAGTTTTTTGTA